AATACAAATAACCAAGCCTATCGGCACTTATCTGAAGCATCGAAGTCTACGCAGTGCGGGTTATCTGGACGACGGCATACAGGTTCTTCAAAGTGCCAATCAACTCAGACAGCAGCTGAACTTCACAATTAAGTTGCTCACGCAACTAGGATGGCTAGTGAACCTGATGAAGTTGGAGTTAGAATCAAACAAGATCTTCAAATGCTGGGAATAAGAATTATCACAACACAGAATCGAATTGTGGTCCCAGAAGATCATTGGGTCAAGATACAAGCCATGATTCCACAAGCAGTCATCTCTCCATTAACACTACGAACATGGCAATGTCTACTCGGTATACTAACCTCGGCGCAGGACTTGATTCGCACAGGAAGGTTACAACTAAGGCTGCTGCAACGGTTCCTGACAAAACCTCTGGACAGCGTCGACCCTATCTTGCTGCCAGACAATCTTAAGAGGTACCTACTTTGGTGGACCCACAGGTCGAACGTCTGCGGAGGGACCTATTTACAAGAGCCGGCCTTCGAAACACATCTCTACGTAGACGCATCGATACAAGGTTGGGGTGCACATCTCAACAATCAAGTTGCATCAAGGAAGTGGTCCAAACAGAGCAGCATTTTCACATCAATCTGCTGGAGATGAAAGCTGTGATCAACGCCTTACAACTATGGTCGAGCTCGCTTATCAACAGAATGCTGATGTCCACACGGACAACTAAATCGGGTCCACAAGGATCTACAAGATCACCAAGCCTACTACAGCTCACATTCCAGTTGTTTGACATCATGGAGGAGGCAAACATCTGGATAAAGGCGTGTCACATACCCGGAGCCAAGAACGTGCTTGCAGACGCTCTCTCCCGACCACTGCACCCGTCACCTACAGAATTGATACTCCATCCAGAAGCATTTCGGCTCATCATAAGGGAAATAGGATCCCCATGCATAGACCTGTTTGCCATGAGGTTCGGCAAACAACTACAGACATTTGTCTCGCCAATTCTAGATCCTCAAGCCTGGGCAACAGATGCACTGAACATATCATGGGAAGGACTAAACGCTTATGCGTTTCCACCCCAAAGTACTGTTGAAGATCAAGCAGACACAGGCGCTACAACTGACCATGGTCGCGCTATACTGGCCAGCGAGAGTATGTTTCCTAGACCTAATAGAAGATCTCGGAAGTCCAACAATCAAGTTACCAGATTGGCCGAACCTACTCATGCATCCGCACACCAAGCAAGTCCACGGGGAACCCAACACTGTTCCAGCTACACGTGTGGACCGTATCAAAACATGTTTGAAGAAAAGAGGATACTCCCCCAGGGCAGCCAAGGCAGTCACGCTAGTGTTAAGCAGATCTACTCGTAACATGTATGATGACAAGTGGCTGAAGTTTGAGACTTATGCAAGGCGGAAAGACTTCATTACGGTGAAAGCTACTCATCCTCAAGTGGCGGAATACCTGTGTCATCTTAGACAGACCAGACATCTGAAAGGTTCGACATTATCTACATACCTTGCCACCATCAGTACAGTGATTACCATGAAAATAGGCATCAAGTTGATGAGAGTACCAGAATTACTTGCTCTGCTGAGATCTTTTAAACGGGAGGACCAGCAAAAGAGGTTCAGAGCTCCGGCCTGGGATCTGAATGTAATTCTACGTCATCTTACCAGTGATGCCTACGAACCTCTAGACCAGACTACACTCGAGCTGCTGACACAGAAGACTCTGTTCCTGCTTGCGCTAACCACGGCAGCTCGAATATCAGAGATACATGCGCTGGACTGTGGTCGAACCAGATTCGACACCGGGCAACATGCTGCAGTTCATCTAGGACTTAGATGGGACTTCATTGCCAAGAACCAACTACCTGGTCAGCCAGATAGACAGTTCTATGTACCAGCTCTATCTACAATCCTCGGACCAGAGGACATAAAGAACCTATCCTTGTGTCCGGTCAGAGCCCTGAAGATATATCTTCAAAGACTAAGACAAGGAGCTGAAAATTCTAGCGCCTATTTATCCCATTATCCACAGAGACATCAGCAGAAGTCTCAAGAACGACGATATTGTTCTGCGTGAGAGCTGTCATATTGAGAGCCTATAAAGCAGCAGGACTAGAACCTCCAAGAGCTTCCAACCCACAAGAAGTCAGAGCATTGGCGTCAACACTAGCTCTGCATGGAAATTGCTCTATATCAGCAATTATGGAGGGCTGCTTTTAGAAGTCGGACACGGTGTTTGCCAACCACTACCTCCAAGACATAGCCACTGAAGAGGTCTCAGGCATTCACCAATTTGGGCCTCTCGTTGTAGCACAGCTACTAACGGCTCCACAGCGCTGAGTTGGAAAATCTCACCCTTTATCACGTTGAATTGTTGATAACTTTTACTAAGGAAAAGTATTAGTTTGAAAGTCCATGCGCATGGTCTAGGACAGGCTAGCATGAGTGATTAAACATCCTGTACGGGTAAAGATCTTACCTGTACATGAAAGGGTCGCAACTCATTTATGATAAAGATCTTATCATAATCTATGGGTTGTTATAAGATATCTAGTAATAAGAAGATACTAGTTTATCTGAAGTCACATGAATCAAGACGATTCATCTTGTCTGAGATGGAAGTAAGACAAGAAGTGGTCCCCCCAAGTTATAACGGAAGTTGGAAGAATAGGATCTCGGAAATGCCACTACACAGTTCCCATGGGGGGATACAGGACGTATCTAAGGACAGCTGATGAATCCAGGAAGCGGCTTGACCCACCACCAATCCGTCGGATTCTATAAGCAAAAGATCATGAGTCTGGATAAGAAAAAATATGTAATTGTTCAGTGACTACTGGCATTGTTTCAAATGAAAGGAAGACAGTAATTTCATTACCTTAGTCAACCCATTCAACACCACAGTCTAGAAAAACAGCCAAGACGTCACCAGACCCAGACACCGAAAGGCCGGTAAACTGGCCTGGCAGTAGGCGCATCAAAATGGTATATAATTTTAGGAACCTACCTAACATATGATTCACTTATTAAATCTATCACTTTTTACAATGTCTGAAAATACTTATTACATTTCAAATGAACTTATATTATTGACAGAATTAGAATTATAAACTTTTTTTTTTTTAAACAAAAAAACGATTCGGCAACGGGTCCACATCAAAGTTGTCAAAGAGGAAAAGTAACGATGTTTCGACGAAAAATAATTAAACAAATTGAATAAACTAAAGAATAAAATCAAGAACAGTACTCATAAAAGTTGTCAAACGTACATTATAAGTTCTTATTTTCCATCTTTTTGAGTGCGATCATGAAATGTAAGCCAAATAACATTTTGGCTTTCTTCGCCTCGAACTTCATGCTTGCACACGATGTTTAATGCTAAAATATATGCTTGAAGCATTTTGGTCACAGGTCATAACCAAGCACGAGATGACAACTAAGTTCCATAAGGTGGTGATTTTGTGCGTAACCCGTTCAGAATAGGATTATTTTACCCAACACTTTCGTCTACATCTAAAGTTTTCGTTTATGAGGACGGTATCCATTGCTGTAATAATATTGGTTGCCTTAGCTCACATGCATGATTTTGACTAATCACAAGCCTTATAGCAGACATTCATAAACTACTCGTGTCATTCCGGCAAGCCGGATGGTGACTCGTACCTCTCTTGTGGCCATGTTCACGACTAGTCTAGGAATAAGAAAAGCAAGATTGATCAGTCTAAGTAAACTTAGGCTCATTATTCGTTACACTGCTATACTGAGTCTAACAAAACCTTGTAGAAGGTCGCGTCAAAACATTGGTGACAGTGACAGACTGGTGTAGGACATTGTTAAGACATTGGTGACAGTGACAGACTGGTGTAGGACATTGTTAAGACATTGGTGACAGTGACAGACTGGAGTAGGACATTGTTAAGACATTGATGACAGTGACAGACTGATGTAGGACATTGTTAAGACATTGATGACAGTGACAGACTGGTGTAGGACATTGTTAAGACACTGGTGACAGACTGGAATAGTAGGGTAGGGTGATAATACCGTTTAACCGGTATATCGCAATTTGAACTTTGCAATATGATATATTGTGGTACACCCGATATGATTGGCAATTTCTGTGACCATGATCGGTACTTTTCGTGAAGTAGTTAAAAATTCTAATAAGATTTGTATTGTTAAGACATTGGTGACAGTGACAGACTGGTGTAGGACATTGTTAAGACATTGGTGACAGTGACAGACTGGTGTAGGACATTGTTAAGACATTGATGAAAGTGACAGACAGGAGTAGGACATTGTTAAGACATTGATGACAGTGACAGACTGGTGTAGGACATTGTTAAAACATTGATGACAGTGACAGACTGATGTAGGACATTGTTAAGACATTGATGACAGTGACAGACTGGTGTAGGACATTGTTAAGACATTGATGACAGTGACAGACTGGTGTAGGACATTGCTGACAGTCATAGGCTGGTAAAGGACAGGCTGGTATGAGGAGGATATGGCATGCATTTTACAGTAAGAAAACGTACACTATGAATTTATGATGATCAGTGATGACAGACAGGGATATGAACAGGTGTCAGTGATGACAGACAGGGATATGAGCAGGTGTCAGTGATGACAGACAGGGTATGAGCAGGTGTCAGTGATGACAGACGGTATGAGCAGGTGTCAGTGGTGACAGACAGGGATATGAGCAGCTGTCAGTGGTGACAGACAGGGGTATAAGCAGGTGTCAGTGGTGACAGACAGGGATATGAGCAGGTGTCAGTGGTGACAGACAGGGATATGAGCAGGTGTCAGTGGAGGCAGACAGGGATATGAGCAGGTGTCAGTGGTGACAGACAGTGATATGAGCAGGTGTCAGTGGAGACAGACAGGGATATGAGCAGGTGGCTGTGATGACAAGACATTGGGACATGAATGGGTTTCAGTGATGACAGAGTAAGCTAATGGTAAGATGAATATTTCCAGGGCCATGACACAACTGCAGCAGCCATGAACTGGGCAGTGTTCCTCATCAGTTCCAACACAAGGATACAGCAGAAAGTACATGAGGAACTGGACTCAGTGTTTGGTAAGAATGCTTTGCAAATCAGCTAAGAGGATATACTGCAGTGGTAATCTGGTCATTGCTGAAATAACACCCAAAAATATGTTCACACTTGGATTCTGATTTTGTACATGACAGTCATATCAAAAGAATGTTCACAAAGTTGTAACAAGTCGCAGTGCCAGACCAAGTGAGCTGAAACGGTAAGGCCATTTGTAAGACCGTGAGCATAAGAATGTAGATTTGTCTGAGTTGGGATGTAGTACAAGGTTAATTTAAACTTTCTCTTCTCGGAAACTAAAAGGCTCATAGAGGTCATATTTTGTAAGGATAGCAAGCTTTTAGTGGGGTTCAGTGTTTATCATTGCATTTTTGTACAGAGTATAGCATTATTGCCAAATTGGAAAGACTGATCTTTTCTGTAATTTCTCAGACAATATCACTCTTAGTGATTGGCTGTATTATAGATTATGTAATTTGTTTGATCTGGCTGAGAATTTGTGATGGCATCCCTTTCATTCATTCCCAAATCTACAAGCTGTATCATGTGAAATATGTATGGCATTGATTAACATATTTACTCAGATTTCAGATTGAACATGAAGTTATTCTTCAGCTTATTCTTTGTTATCATTGCATTTCTATTCATTTGCTATTTTGTTTCTGCCCACAAAAAACACTGAAGCAAATATGTGAGCCCCATGGGTAGCTGTAGAAATGCGTGATATTTGTCTTGAATACAGTTGACTCTGTCGCTTATTAATGGAGAAGATTCAAAATTCCAACGTAGGTGTGTACACAGTTGTGTCTGTATACCACATAGACATGTACTCAACTACAGTATGCTACAGACCTATACAGTGAGTATACTTGTATTACCCACAGGGGACAGTGAGGAGCCTGCCACAATGGAGAACCTGAAGGATCTCAAGTACCTGGAGTGCTGCATCAAGGTGAGGAGGAGGAAACACTCTGCACAACATGTGTTTGTCTACATTTCATGTGATGAGAAATACATTGAATGTAGAAAGTTTCCTTAAGTCCTGATCACTGTCAACTATCTATAACTAGTTGAGATATTAATAATGTCTTCTTACTAAGCTCCATAGCATACATGGCCACAAAGTCCTCCCTTGTTTCCTGTGTTTTTGGTTTCTGTCAACATTAGAAACACTTTTCTTAGTTGTCATAGCAATTACCCAAGTTGCACACTGTAGCAATTACCTAAGTTGCACACTGTAGCAATTACCTAAGTTGCTTTGCCTCGGTGAATATCACATGTCCAAGGTCGATAAATCATTGGATCAAACCCACTAGAAGTCAATAATTGTATAATACTACAAGCATGGACACAATTACCTCATATACAGTGACTGGATATAGCTTGATATCATTATAGAGTTACACAATTCAAATACAAAGATGTATAGACAACATACAGTTGGTATTCAAGGGTTTAAGCATCGTACAGCCAGTCACCTGCTATGGTGTTTGTGAAATCAAAAATTGTAAAGTTCTAAACATGTCTACAGTTCATATTATAATGGCATTACATGTAATATTGATCTTTGTGTTGAATATAATATCTTAATATTTGAAATGGCTAGTTTTTAGACTCAAATTGTGATAACTTGCTAATGTTTTACTGTCCTTTGTGACAGATATATCTGATAGTTAACCTAACTCTTCTCCTCCCTTTATGGCTGAAATATTGCCGATGTGATGTTAAATTTGAACTGACTCACTCATCCTAAACATTCCATACATACTGGTGTGAGGGAGTTCTAGTTACACTCATTCTTGACATGTAAATGTTATATGAGGATGATAGCTGACATGGTGCATACTTGCTTGTACTATCTCTTATTCTTCATAAGGCCAGAACAATTTTATTTCTTTTTTTACAGGTTTTTGTCCTGAGAAAACCTAAAGGCAGGAGGGAAAAAAAATAAAAATAAAATCACCAGTCAAAGTAATATTCCTTCTAAATACTCAAAGTATTTTACTTTTGGCAATTTATGAAGTGTATATGGGGCAAAAAACAATCTAAAAAAATTGTTCTTGTAAGTTTACATTTTTGGCCAATAAAAACATTAGGATTTATTTTTGAGCGGGGAAAATTAATTGATTTTGTTTTCTTATTCTTGAATATGACATGCAGATCCGTAAAACAAGAAATAACATTGGTCTGGCCTAAACTGACATTGTAACATGCAAATTACTTCAATCATAATTAACATGTAGCACACAGTGTAAACACTATAACACAGATCCTCTAATGCAAGGAATGTTAAGTAAATATGTTATCAAACAAGAATATAATAGCCTTTCATAGCCATTCAAACTTCATTGGAACATATCCCTAGTTCATATCGGGAATGTACCAGATACATGCAGCAATGCTATAGCAATTACATGAAGTTAGGACAATGTACTGTTTGCTTGGAAAGATTTCCACCCGTAACCCCCGTAATATATAAAATCATTATATGCCTAAGACTATACTCCTATGTTTTTTTATATACACCCTAAACCCTAAATCCTGACCTTAAACCTAACCCTAAAATCTAACCTCAAATCTAACCCTAAACCCTCGAAATAATCCTAATAAATAGAATGCATTTCAAGCGGGGGTTAAAGCCGAACTCTTACTGATTGCTCTACATGCACATATATTTGTGTTGTTCACTAACCTTGATTACATGCTGCAGATAAACTTCTAGCTGATGTATACAGCTTACACTATTAGGGCTGTGTTCTCTGTATGAATGTGTGTGACAGAGTGAAATGTTGGTAGGGACATTTAGAGACTGGCCGGACAGATTATATAATCTGGCTTGTGACTTATGTGACTAAGACAAAGAGAGTTGCTTCAGCCATGGCAGAATAATAGAGGACTACAGCTTAGCATAAAAGCTGACTTGTCAAGAATGAATAAAGATACTCTAATTACTAAAACCAGCAAATGTAAAACTATTCTATATTCCACAAAGAAAAACTAAAACCCCCTGCCACAAATTGATGACTGTTGTTTGATGTTGTATATCAGGAAGCTCTGAGACTCTACCCATCTGTACCGTCCTTCGCTCGCACCCTCACCAAGGATGCTGACATAGGTATGCAAAGGAGACATAGTTGTTGCCTCATTTGTGCAGAGACCATATAATAGAGGGACGGCCCTCCCCAACAGTTTATCACTAACCATCAGCGCTACGGCCTGGCATGTAACTGATACACATCAACACCCTGCTGCTAACTTCCCGCTACCAGTACACATGCGTGAGAGATGCGCAGACATTCGCAAATGAGCACTCTGGTAACCATGTAAACAATATTGCGTAATATCCGGGCCGAGAGTTAATTCCCTTAGCGGGATTTCACCGGCTGCGTTTGACAGTTAAACATTACATGGACAGCTCCAATAAATTATCTAAATCTATTATATGGTCTCTGATTTGTGACACAGGTATTAGGCACTGACTTCACTTAAGAAGGGAAGGTAGGGAAGAGATTTTTTGAAAATTTAAATATTACTTGTTATTCATTTTGTGTTGATGTAGAAACATGATGGACATGTAATAATATGTTGGTGAGTGTTCATGTAATAATGGCAGTAACAGGTGATATAGCACAACACACATATTGTCGTGTCCTGCTTCAGGGGGCCTTGTCATCCCTAAAGATGCTTCAGTCGTACTGTTGACGTCTGCCCTCCACCGTGACCCCCGGTACTTCCCTGACCCAGAGGTCTTCAACCCTGACAGGTTCCTCCCGGAGAATGTCAAGAATCGGCACCCCTACACCTATGTGCCGTTCTCAGCTGGTATGAGGAATTGCATTGGTAAGTGTCCACAGTTGACAGATAACTACAGGTGTCAAGACAAACTGAACTGACAAAAAGTTTGTGTTACCTGAGAACATTTGTAAACATTCCCTCTATGAATACACAATGCCATTTAGAAAGTGGTCAAATGTAACACATGTTATATTTGGGATTACACTTTCTCAGTAAAGTACAGATTCTAGTACTTTTGTTGGCTTGGAAATATCGAGAGTGCATGATGAAATGGTTTAAAGTAAAAAATTTGGGCTAATGGAAATAGTCCTGGAACTTGCACTTAAGTCACTTTCACACGCTATATTTGTTCAGCAATGATTCGAAAGCAGACTCACCCTCGTGGCGTCACCACACATGCTCACGTCTTCCTCTTTCCTTTGTGCAATCCACATTATTTTGCAGTGTTCCCTGCATCTCTTTTCTGTCACAATATCACCCGATCATTTTTAAATGCACATCATTCATGCATATTGTGAATTCGACTATTAACTTCTGACATCTACTGCCATTTTCATTTAGTGCCATATCAGCTCGTTCCACATCCCGCTGTATGTCCACAAATTACGGAATGGGACGAGTATGCCAAATAGCATCAGGATCATTGGTATAGTGTCCGTTGATTAAAATCACAGGGCACCATGTTTACCCGTAACCTTAGTGGGTCCCACCTTAGTAATTGTCCCTGACCTAATTGACCCTTTCTATTTATTTCCGTAACCCTCAGGAATAACTAGATAAATTTGTACAAATTGGAACAGTGTGAATGTAGCTCAGTTGGTTTGCTGGTGGGCTAACAATCCGAAGGGTGTGAGTTAGTGTCATGGATTCTCACAAAACTGGTCAAGTTATGGTGGTGAAATCTGAAGGTGCTCCAAACAAGAGGTCTGGTAAAGACTGGTTCAACAGGACTAGTCTGTCTAATGACATGTTAGTCCTGAATATTCTCTCTCTTATTATGATGTAAATAAGTGTAAGAGTATGGTTATGAAAACTCACTCACTCATACTTACTTGCACAGAATTTATTTTACTGTTGCTTCTTGCTTGAACAACTGGGTTACCTCCCTTTGCTCAATGCAGTGTAAATGACACTTTCAGTCAGTTCAGACTTTGTTTACTTCATTTCAGCCTTCATGCAGCTATTCATATACACAACTGTTTGTAGGTCAGAAGTTTGCCCTGCTGGAAGAGAAAGTCATCTTGTCCACCATCTTCCGCAACTTCACAGTGAGGTCACACCAGAAACGTGAAGACCTGAAACCTGTGGGTGATCTGATCCTGCGACCAGAGAAGGGTATCTTTGTCACCCTCAGCAGCCGAACCTGAGGGGGCCCCACACATCACCATGGCCACACCGTGAGGTCAGCACCTCGTCTTACGGATCATGCCATTGTAGGCCCAAAATGTATAAAGGCGCATGGTTTTGAATTGCATTGATCTCTGAATCTGATTAATGAAAACAAATACAGCAAATCAAGAAATTAATACAAAATTAATGCAAACAATTGCAATCATCACTTGCTCAAATTAATAGAGTGACTATTTGGAATTGATTGATAAGTCAGGTTCAAGGCACCTTGGAAGAAACAATGACATAAATAAAAATGCTCAGAATACGCATGCTAGATCCAAAGGCAGGGCTACGCACATCAAGAGCGTGACATGTATTTTGCCAAAGGTCGACACTTGCATTAATTTGGTATGTGTAATACTTAACAAAGCATGTCCAGTAAGTGTTGACAAACATGATCACTTGTTTTCGATTACCACATGATTCTATTACAAACACATCAACTGATTACTTCAAAATTCTGCTATCTTCGGTAATATATGGTAGCTCCATAGGTAGAACTGTCTTAACGCTGGTAATAGGTGGTGTATATATTTATATGATGTATGTATATCATCACCCTGCTTGTCACATAACATCATCACAGATATAGATGACACTACTGTTTTCACCTTGAGTCAGCCACACAACGCACAGCAGTGCAGGGAGGAACTAGCAGCACTTGTGTGATTATCACCAACAAAGGGGCCACAGTTTCACGGGATGTAATTGTTGAACTATATTGTTTCACCTTCTCAGTGTACACTTTTATAATCAAGTATGCACCTGTCTTCAAACTAGTCGATCATACAGCTCAGTGTGGCAGTTAATGTATGTTGTAATACACAGCCTGCAGTAGAACTAGCAGAATCTGCTGAGTGGGCCAAAGTTAGTTGTCAGGCTGCTTGAAGTCCCCAGCTGGCCATCAGGGTGAGGGATCAGCTTGCCAGGTGTGGTGTCCAGAATGAATGTTGACATGTTGCTGTCATAACGCCGGAATAACGCTGACCAACAAACAAACAAATCCATGACAGATTAGTCATTTACTGAACAGTCATCTTGCCATGCTCCATCTTGAGATGGTGGACTTTATTTCTACTGCATATTAATTTACTGTTGTTTTACATGTAGTATGTTGTCATTTATACTTCTGTTGGCTGCTCAGTCATTATATATACATGTATGATTTACACATCTGCACAGGGAAACATCAATAAATTGTGTTTTCACAAATTTTACTACTGGTATTTAGTATTTTGTTATCATTTTGTTTCTTTAGTAATGATGATTTTGTCCACTTCAGAATCGGTTGTAAATATGAGTTTTGTGAAGAGTATTGACAGATGTTGGAGACTTCATACTGTATGTCAGGGTCACTCAGCATGAACTTGCTATCAAAAGTGGTTGTGTATGCATAACTTGAGTAGAACAGTTTCTGGTATTACCCAACAGCCAAGGTTGTGTATGCATAACTTGAGTAGAACAGTTTCTGGTATTACCCAACAGCCAAGGTTGTGTATGCATAACTTGAGTAGAACAGTTTCTGGTATTACCCAACTGCCAAGGTTGTGTATGCATAACTTTAGTAGAACAGTTTCTGGTATTACCCAACTGCCAAGGTTGTGTATGCATAACATTAGAACAGTTTCTGGTATTACCCAACAGCCAAGGTTGTGTATGCATAACTTGAGTAGAACAGTTTCTGGTATTACCCAACAGCCAAGGTTGTGTATGCATAACCTGAGTAGAACAGTTTCTGGTATTACCCAACATCCAAGGTTGTGTATGCATAACTTGAGTAGAACAGTTTCTGGTATTACCCAACAGCCAAGGTTGTGTATGCATAACTTGAGTAGAACAGTTTCTGGTATTACCCAACAGCCAAGGTTGTGTATGCATAACCTGAGTAGAACAGTTTCTGGTATTACCCAACAGCCAAGGTTGTGTATGCATAACTTGAGTAGAACAGTTTCTGGTATTACCCAACAGCCAAGGTTGTGTATGCATAACTTGAGTAGAACAGTTTCTGGTATTACCCAACAGCCAAGGTTGTGTATGCATAACTTGAGTAGAACAGTTTCTGGTATTACCCAACAGCCAAGACTCAATGCCGTCTGATTCCTGCTGTATGTGATTACATGAATCAGTAATTATTACAATACACACAACACACATTTCAGTGTGAATCATAATAGAATAAATGCTTTTCAGCAAGACTGTTTGGCCAATAGTTTTAGGCATGGTCAACTTATGTTTTGTTGCACTCTGAGGAACACCCAGGTTGAGCCATTCTGAAACTCTTATATCAACCTATTGTTTACACTGGGGTCTGGCTATTCCAAACATAGGTGTTATTGAATGCTTCAGTTGAGTTGTTCTGATCTCTTCTGGTGAGCAATACTGTGAGGGTATTTCATAATGCATCCCTGAAACTAGAATACCAGTAAATGCACACTTGTGCATACCTCTTCAGAACAACATATAGACCTCAATGTAATGAAATTCCAACAAGAATGAAAACTAACCAAAATAGTGATATGTTATTGTGCTTTGATGTCCCAGATGTTGTCAATAAATAACAGTTTTGTAATTATTCACATGGATTCCAGATTCTGTGCTCTTACAGTAGTGTTTCTTCTATTTTTCTTAGATTTATCCTAAATGATTTCTCATATAACCCTGAACATCTTAAAAATAATCATAAGGTTGTTAACATCACACTTAGTGAGTTAGAATTTATCAACACAGCAGCATCATAGAGAAATGAGAATGTAATTTAATATATATATGTCTTATATAAAACATTCCAGTTTTATGTCTTTCAGTGGCATTTAGAAGTTGTACATTGATGTCCAAGATATTTTTGGACCTGGAATGGTCTCGAAACGTCGTGAGAGAAAATAAAAAAGAAGTTTAATCCATAAAAATATCTTGGACATTCCAGTTTTATCTAAAGCAAATTTAGAAGAGCAATACGATTTACAACTATTTATAACAGAGACTACAAGCCACCAGCAAGTAATATTGGAACAACTCATTAGGCATCGTGGAGATTTTTGTTCCTCAATGCCCACAATTGGCCCCTATATCCAATAAAACCTTGTCTTTGACTGAAATAAAAAAAAATGTTATATTGTAATGAGTAACCCTGTTTGGGCCAAGACTTTTTGGCTGAGCATAATAATTGCATATATACACACAAAGTGTAAGGATGTGATCCTGTTGTTTCTTTTCTGCCTGTATATTTTACATTCTCTTTCAAGGCATGGCAATAGGATTAGTCTGTCTCACAGTCCCTGAACCACATTAATTTCCCTACTGCCAAGCCCTCTCTGCAGTGCTAAAGCCCTAAATAAAGCAAGTCTAGATTTCCTCAGGTTCAGGGTCTGTTAACATCTGCAAGAAAACTAACTCACTTTGGGGGTCGGGTTACAAAGTAAACATATCTAACTACCATGGCTGGCCGGACCAACATCCTCACCAGTGGTCTGGAATCTTGCCTCACATTTTCATCTGTCAACTCTTAATTAACAAGCACATTGGGTGACATGAAGCTATAGTGGAGGCCTTGTGCACAGTTTCTGGTCTTGAAGAGACAAATCAAGCAAAATCTTGGGGAAAGGTTCCTCCTGAATGTTATGTTGTAAACAGTATTGTTTCATTGTCTGACTTGGGTCCACGCATAGCAGCCCAATTGTAAATGCGGTTAAGGATTTAATTGTAATTAAAACAATGGTTATTTTTCTTATTCCTGATATAAGATTATTGTGTGAAACTCTAGTGTGTTTTGAGTATCTGTTTTTATCTAATTGCTCAACAGTAAAACACATGGCAGGGACCTAGCACTCATGAAGAGTGAGTGAGTGAGTTTGGGTTTACATCGCATTCAGTAATATTCCATATATGGCGGCGGTCTGTAAATAAGTCGAGTCTGGACCAGACAATCCAGTGGTCAACAGCATGAGCATCTACGCAATTGGGATACGATGACATGTGTCAACCAAGTCAGCAAGCCTGACCACCCGACCCCGTTAGTCGCCTTCTCATGAAGAACCAAATTCAAAAGGCACAGCATCTCGGAATTAAATATGTTTACCTTCGTGATGTGATTGAGGCATGCAAGGTGAAATCTAGTGAGGATGATCTTGTATCTAGAAATACCCAGAACATCTTCAAGCGTAAGACAGACGCTGGCCTTTTCACTTCCATTGAACAGTTTGTTTAAAAAAGGTGGTTATCTATATCCTCTTCGCATATTATACAAATGGAAACTTTTGAATTTGGAGATAAGTTCAAATTCATAAATAATTTTGTTGGTGTTCCACACAGATCTTGCACCTTGGTCATCTAGTGTCCAAGTGACATTGTGGGCTGCAAGTTTCCCAACAGTAAAATGTTAGGCAGTAGGGGCACTTGACCGGCCCACATGAGGTGATGACAGCATGGAGATAGGACAGGGCTTAACAGGAGGGCCAATAAATATGCCTTTCACTTATAGCGTTATCTGATGGTTGTATGATGTGACTTCTAATTGGTAATGACCCCAGCACGTGTAGCCCCAATGCAGATGTTCTTAGTCTCTGAATCTCTGGTCTCCCTAGGGCTCCTTTTCAATATAAATGGGCTTGTTTGTTACTATCAAAATTATATATATTCAGAGACTAAGCCTTAGGTAGTTGTCTCAGATGAACAAACTGCCTGCCGATATGCACTTTGTATTTAATTACCAACGTTCAGTATTTGCCATCACGCATGGCAAATGAAGTTATATTCCTGTCCTATCGTTCAGCCTACGCCACTGCTTAGTTTGTACCTATGTCTACATACAGGTCGTCACCAAACACTTCAGTCTGAATAAATACACTGTTTATTGTTTAATGTTGGCAGACGATGTAGCTCCTGGACTGCTACACAAGGTATATTCGTATCAAGGCATGCCCTTAGGATAATACTAATTCTAGTTCACACGATTTGGCCATCGGAAGAATTTACATGAAGAAAGATAAACTGTTGTTTTTGTGGTATGCTGTGAGCAAATACCGTTACCATATTGACATGCAGCCGCCATGTTTGAAATTGGTGCTGAAAACCGCCAGCCAGGTTGAAGAAGTCAGCAACGTGGATATTGCAAACTTTTGCGACATTCCGTCATCAACAGTAATCCAGAGTGAGTTTGAGAAGCTCTTGAAATTCATATTGATCTGTTTAGGAAGATTCTAACGCGACCTTGAAGGTTGGAGATCGATCTGAAACTATATAGTGTCTGCGTGTTGCTATTTGGCGAGGTTTGACTCCTTGTAGACACAAGTTCAAGTGTCACTTCTCGAGGAACAACAGCGCATGCTTGTCATATTTGTGCACGATGTATGTAGTTCCGTGCTGGATGTATCCATGTTGGCTTCACTTACCATGAAATTGTTATATGACGGGGATCTGTGTTTAATAGATTGTTAATCACATTAAAATCTTGCGAACTCTTCCTCATCTTCAGTGTTAGGAACATAAATAGAGTCAGTATACTTGTTATGAAGAAAATATGTATGTGGATCCACGCTTTACCACCGACATACGTTGACTAGCTGCCAACGTATCTATAGGTCAAAATTATGTCAACTGTTTACAGATAAAGGAAATATATAGTCTCAATCAAATCATCTCTCGAGTTGACGAGTTAATGTAGTTATAGTCACACAAACTCTAGTTCTATGAAACCCATAACCAGACTTACACTCTGTCAATTATCTAGCCCGTTTACTTGATTTTCAGTGTGTACTGAGGGAGCTTGCAAAACTAGATAAAGTTTAATGATGTGCGATACGTATTCACAATGAGCATATTGCATTCCCAAATGTATTACCAAAATACAAGTCTTTGCTACATTACCTTTGAAGATCCAGGTTAGAATTGATCTTCATTAAACCATACTTGTCGTAAGAGGCGACTAACGGTATCGGGTGGTCAGGCTCGCTGACTTGGTTGACACATGTCATCGTATCCAAATTGCATAGATCGATGCTCATGCTGTTGATCACTGGATTGTCCAGACTCGATTATTTACAGACCGCTGCCCTGTAGCTGGAATTGCTGAGTGCGGCGTAAAACTAAACTCACTCACTCACTTTACTCCATTAAATTTGTAGGTTTATTTAGCATCAACCCGTTCTTCTTAACCGTGTGTTTCATTCAGTGTCATAGTACAGCTGGGTATATCCCTGATTCACAAGGAACGAACGGCGGG